TCAGACTGCTCTGTCTAAGGAGGTTATGTTCCTCCAGACCAGACTTCAACTGGGAGTATTTTGTGGAGTTTGACTGTTGACACAGGCTTACAGGTAGAAAGGAAGGAAATGCGTCTGAGAGAGAGAAGACCTTTGGCTGATGGTGGAGTATTATGGACGCCACAAGGGAACAGTTTCTCTTCAAATAATCAGCCAAGGACTGTTCTGCATGAGTCTCGGTTTGCAAGCTTCCATCTGACTCTGTTTAGAGAAGGATGAAAAAGTTTTTGCAGACAGCCGTTTTAACACTGTCAGGGTGTGTCACTATTTTTGGAATATTTCCACTGCGTACAGGCAAAGCAGCACTCTCGGTTTGCGTGTAGCAGGCTCCAAGCCTGAGTCAGCTCCCCACCTAACGTTGGGCCAAAGCTTTGTTTTGGGTTTACGAGCTTCATGTTTGCACTGCTTCGTTCAAGCTGGACTTCTTTCTTTCTTGGCTCTGTGTAAGGCAGGAGTGAAGAGGAGGGGATACATGTGGCCTTCATCAGCCAAATGGCTGAAACGGTATGTGGGAGCCAGCAGTTCCTTGGCATCTCACAGTGCAGGGGCGACTCCTCCTGCCAGGGCTGACTTTGCTTCTTCCACGTGCCAGCCGCTGCCCACGATTCACCCCATCCTGCAAAGTTACACTAGAGGGGAAGGGAATGTGCTATCGTGAAACTCTCTGCTACCACCAAGAGCAACCCAGTTGGACCCCAACTCTTGTCTCTTACAGGATGGGGTGCAAACCCAGGAGAGCTTCCAAGAATAAGGTTAGCCTTACCCAAAGATTCCCCTCCGCATGACACTACCCATCCGGCGTTTCAGTCAAGGTCTCATTGGCTCTTCTCCTCACAAACTGTGCCTAACTAAAAGCCTGTCTTTGTGAGAAACTGAGAGGTGTGAATTTGCAGTACTCTTGTTTTCTTGCATGGTGGGGCTCTTGGGTTGGTGGTCATGAGTGCAGGGTGTCTGACTCTGCTTTCAGGGAAGACTGGCGAGTCCCATGCAGATGCCATTTAATACGACCTAAGCTTCATACCAGAGGAGATGGCACAAATTAGCAGATGGGCTACAAATCCACACTGGCTTATTGCATGTTGACTTTCTTGAGAATAACATGCCAAGTGTATTTGTACTCTTCCTTTGCTAGTAGATCTAATAAAATTATCTTTTTTTTTTTTTTTTTGTTAGCCTCAGGCATGAATGTTTATTGGCTCATCACTAAATTGAAGACTTGGAGCCGGGAAGAGCTACATGTTGTCTCTTGAGATGTTGCATTCGGATGTGTGGGAGTCTGTCACCTTTACATGGAAATGTAAGTATGATTCTTACACTCCCTGTGAGGAAACTGCTTAGTGTATTACAAAGAACAGAAGAGTAAAAGAGAGAGCAAGGCACAAAAGCAAAAGTATGTGACTACAGCACTTTGTGGGTTTTGCAGTGGAAACAGTCCCACGGAGGCAGCAGTGGCTGCAAAGAAACACCCTGTTGTCGCAGCTGCATTTTCTTTTTTTTTTTTTTTTTTGTTAGCCTCAGGCATGAATGTTTATTGGCTCATCACTAAATTGAAGACTTGGAGCCGGGAAGAGCTACATGTTGTCTCTTGAGATGTTGCATTCGGATGTGTGGGAGTCTGTCACCTTTACATGGAAATGTAAGTATGATTCTTACACTCCCTGTGAGGAAACTGCTTAGTGTATTACAAAGAACAGAAGAGTAAAAGAGAGAGCAAGGCACAAAAGCAAAAGTATGTGACTACAGCACTTTGTGGGTTTTGCAGTGGAAACAGTCCCACGGAGGCAGCAGTGGCTGCAAAGAAACACCCTGTTGTCGCAGCTGCACTCGGTCCTCTGCTCTGCTGTGGATCAGAAGACGGAGATGTTTAGTAACACAGCGGGCTAGCCAGAGGCCAAGCAACCTTAGCCATGGGCTGACAGGCCTAACTGAAGACAGGTCCAGCACCACCGTACTGGGAGACATCTCCTTGTCTGTCGGCGTCGCAGTTTTCTAGCTGGCTTGTGTTTAGACCAGCAGCATTACTTCCTGTGTAATCGGTAGGAGGGAGGGTGGCTACAGGGAGTAGAAGAGCGTGAGGGCATGGTTAGTTGCAGACCTCGCCTCGTCGTGCCCAGCACGACTTGGGGCGGCATTTGGGCTGTGGCAGCACATAGTGGTGAGCCTGTCTCGCTCCTCGGAGGGCATTGCCGGCTGGTGTGGGCGCTGCTCTGGCAGGGCTCCATGTGTAGCTCTTTTCAAGACGTGGATCCCGTGCTGCATCACTGCAGGTGCATGCTGGCCTCCAGAGCTCCTCTCTGGCAGTAGCCCAAAGCTGCTGTACTTTCCAGAGATGCCTTCAGACACCCTCTCCTTAATGCCTTCCTTTGGAGGGAACCAGTGACACCGGTGCAGAGATTTCCAATGCATCATTTCCAGTAACAGCCAGAAAACCCCTCCTTTCTTCTAAAATGGGGATCAAAGCCCAGTCAGGACCGCAGCATGACATGGTCTTGCTCCTCAAGAGAGGGAGGGTAAAGCTGCAAGGATACTGCCGTTTCCCCACTTCTCAGCTGGCAGTAAGGCTGAGGTTAGAGACATGGTCTGCTTTCTCCTTGTCCAGCTGGGTCTTGTGGTGCGGGAGGTTTCCAATGCTCCTTAGAAATGGGGCTGCTCAGTGGGATGGACCACGCATGTGCCAGGATCTCATGTGGAATCCTTGCTGCAAGTGGGTGATGTGACCTTGTGCTGGCTTGACTATGCTTTTGTTATACAAAACCTCCCAGCAAGTCGATTTTGCACACGCGCACCGAAGTACTCAGAGATACCAAGGCCTAGTGTCACTTCTGTGATGCACAGTGGACAGGGGACATCAGCTATTGAGCCCTCTCCACCTCCTGAGTGCCTCTTCACTGCTCACAGCAAACTCATTTTTGAACAGACCTTTTATCCGTTAGGAGTGGTTTCTTGCTTGTGTCTACCTGTTGCTCTAACAGGAAAAAGAATGCCAGGCTTGATGTGCTATAACTGGTCTGCTGGAGCATGGGGGCTTCTAGCCTGAGTCATTTCAGCTGTGATTTTACAACAGCACGGGCATCTGGGCATGACAAACTTGATTAACCGGAAGTAGTGACCTTCATTATGAATACAGGGCGTCCTGTTAAGCCTTGTTCTGCTGCTGTGGAGCTTTACCTCTCTCTCTCAAACACGCATCTTTCCATTTGTATTTCATTTATACCAATCCCAGTTCCTGCCTGCAGTTCTGCAGCCGGCAGTGTCCAGTGAGCAGGACGGCACCGAGCAGACTCTGCGTGTGCTCAGAGCAGAAGGACGGTCCCTGTCCCAGCACACTTGCAATCTGAGCACGCTGACAGGCAAAGCGCAGGGGTACGCTGGAAGCAGGTGGTGGCTTTGAGGGATGTTGCCTTGAGGAAGAAGTGAGACATGGTTGAGCAGAGTGTGGGCAGTGGTTTCAGCATGCCCGGAGGCCTCCCTCTGCTCTGCTTTGTGGACCCAGCAAAACCAAAAAAAAGCAGGAGAGGCTGGGGTTGCTGCCTCTGCCCAAAGCTGTGTAGGCGCTCAGGCTGGAAGATGTGTCCAAGCATGCAGACCTTGCATGATGTCCCTAGCAGGGCGGCCGGGAAGAGGGAGGTCCCCACAGCCGCCCTGAGCCAGCGCTGCCAGCAGGGTCTGCCCCTGCCCTTGGCTTGTGTTTCTCCACAGAGTGTAGAGGTCAGGCACTTAAATGTCATCTTGCTGCCGTTGCTTCCTCTCTCCTTTTGCGTGTGCCTCTGTTGTGCGTTCTTTGTAAGGAAATAGTAACAAAAAGAAGAAAGAAAAGCTAGGTTTTCCTGTGATGGGCAGAGACAGCAATACTGTGACCTTGTGCATTTACCTCCGGTAACTTCTTCTCCTTTTGTGCCAAAAGGGGTAGGTTTTACCAACGTTAGAACCAGTTAGAAGATGACAAAGCTGGAGAAGGGGAGGTGTCTTACCAGACCTTCCTATAATTTCAAGGAAGAATGACATGAACGAATGAGAAAGATTTATCTAATATTGTACATCTGCTGTGCCACAGTTTTTCTTCTGTCTGCTTTCTTGGTCTACGTCTGCGATAGAAAGATGGAAGATCCCAGTGACCGCTGCAGCAGAGAGATTGTGCTGGGGATGATAAGATTCAAAATCCTCACCACCTCATCTGTTTCATACTGGAATCAGGAATCAAGATTTTATTAGCTTCTTGTGTATTTTCAGACCTAACTCCCATGCCAGCTTCTTTCCCCACCATCTTTCCCACACCAACCAACCTCAGGACTGTTTTTTGTCTGAACCCAAGGCAGTGTTTTCATCCCCTTCCATGCTCATCCCTCTTTCAGAGCTTGCCCAAACGGCCGGCCATGCCTGCAAAGCACCTTTGCGTGGCACTGGCCAGCCCCTCGTAGGTCAGATGTTGATGAGAAGCTGATCCTGACAGCTTCCAAGAGAAGTCTGTCTCCTTTCTACACATTGCCCAACAGCCGTCGGCTGCCTGCTCCTCGCTGGGGGTCCTGGGCTTGCTGTCCCCTTGCTGCTGCTGAGGCTATGGGGGAGAATAAGGATTCCCATCATGCCCCCACCTCAAAAACTGCATGTGTCCCACTAGGATGGTGGTGTGTGGACGCTGGAATTGAACTCTTCAGGTGAACAGTGAAGAGAACGAGGGCCCCGGCTGGCCCTCCAGCTGGGTAGGCAGACCTCGGAGGTATTCCCACATGTTAGCGTGCATTTTCCCTGACAAAACACCCCGTCAAGAGGTATTTCTTGCCCGTGGCTTTTATGCCTGTGCTAGAAACGAGAAGTGCTAGGCTGAGAGCTGGAGGAAGGGAGGAGGGCACGAGGGCTGTACCGACACATCCCACAACTGCTTGCTCACAGCAGAAAAATCCTTTCACCTGCCAGGAGCTATCATTAGACAAGGCGACACTGGATTTTCTTTGATCCTGAAAATGAACTTTAGGAGGATTTTCCTAGTCGAGTGCTTGCTGCTTTTATTTCCCAATGTAAAATGTGAGTTTTTCTTACCATTTTTTGCTCTTTCAGGCTAGCGTTGTTAAAATTGCATTTTAAACCATTTGCAACTTGGTGGGATGTTACTGCTAAGTAACTAGTTCCACTTTCCCAATGAGTGAAGATCTTTGGGTTATTGCTATTATTATTTGATTTAATTTTCAGCCAGCGGGAGGGCAGGACCTGAGTTTTCTATTCCTGTTCTAACAATAAGCTGTAAACAGTTTTGGTTTGAAGTTAATGAGCCTTAATTTGACACATGTGTAATGAGAAATGTCAGCAAGCAGTTTTCTCTCTGCCCTCGAGGTAGCTAGTACTACGTTAGAGATCCAGTTCATGGTGCATTATCGCACATAATTGCCTTTTCTTATCAAAGATTAGCAAATCTTTTGAGAGTGCAAATGACATTCTTCCATTAATACTAAGAGAAAAAGTGATACATCTCATTGTCTTCAGTGGAGTTGAAGAAGTCAAGGATGTGAAAACAGCAAGCAAATGCATGCATCTTTTATATTTTTGTGTATTATTGCTCTCATTATTTTTTAAAATATTAATCTAAAAACTTAATTAAGGTGTTAACTCATAGATTAGAGAAGGTTATAAGAGATGGAGACAATACAATCATGCATAATTTTTTTTCCCTGTTCATTCTGCTATAGATTGTATGTATGGCTGTTTAATGCTTTTCTTTTCCTCCAAAACAAAATTAATAGATAAATAAGGATATTTTTTTTTTGCTTGTTATATAAAACTTCTTCCTCAGCAGAAATGAAGATTTTTCCCTTGAATGGAAAGCTTCTGTCAAAGACTTCCTTACTTCTCTAAATTTAGTATGGGACCTTCTCTTTTTAACCCTTTCTTGTGACTGCAAGTGAGTTTTATGCTGCCAGTTCAGATCTTTCTGCCCCTTGGAGAGCATTTCTGTAGGTGTTATCAGAAATGCTGTTTCATTAGCTACGGAAATTTTTAGTATCGTATGTGTGGGATACTCAGCTTTCCATTAGCAAGACTATGGAGATCAGAAAAACACCCAGAGATGTGTCTAGGTGGTCTGTCCACAGAGATGCCGTTGAATTATCCTTGAAAACTTAGTTTTTTGGGTTTTTTTTCTTCCAGAGAAAAAAAATAAATGACAGTATCTGTTATGCAAAGAAATCCTGTTACTAGCTCTAAATACCTGTGCATGACTGAGTGGAAACAAGTATCAGAATTCAAATCTTTGGGTATAATCTGTAGTGCCGTCTGTGTGGAGGATAGCTGCTTCTAAGACTGGTTGATAACTTCATTTCAGAATATTTCATTAGCTACGTCAAATACCTTGTAAGAAATGCAATAGTGAAATAACAGCCTTACACTGGGGGTGAATTGCCGGAAGCACTTCAGTATTTATTTTCTTGTTGCAGAGGCACACTGTTTGAGTTCCTTGATTAGCTCTAATATTGTTGGTTTCATGAAACAGCAACTGGATTGCAGTTTCACCTCTGTGACATAGTTTATCATTGTCCTAGATAGCAGGAAT